AAAAAAATCAATTCTTTCTTCAACCAACTATAAAAAATGAGTATGAGAAATTGAAGTACTCCAAAGTCAACAAATCCTGCTGAAAGGCTAATTGAAATTTTTATCTGTACATGCAACAGTGATTTGTGAGGGAAAATCACGAATGAACAGTGAACCTCAAACCCTCTCTTTTAAGAGAGTAGGGATTTGGGGACTTATTTGTGTGTTTTTTAAAAAAAAAAATTGGGACTATAATTGCAATTAATTTATTATTTTTCTTTTCATTTTATTTAAAAAGATCATTTCATAATTTTTAATTGAAAAAATGGATAAAATGACTTTTGGAGTAATGAAAATAAGGGTGAAAATATCAAAAAGAATGAAACGTAAGAATATTTTTCACAATAACAATGAAATGAGGGACGAATTATGTGCTAACTAACTTGAGAAAATTGATGTGCAGTAATACGTCTGTGTAAAATTATCTAGTCACGTGAGTGCCTATTGTCAAACACGTGCTGACACGTCATCCATCCCTCCCCATTTGCTACGCATACGTTAAAGCAGAACTGGTGAAAAAACTACAATTACTGTAATAATGCACAAATTCTAAATCTAAAAATCACTTGTACTTGTAACTGAATTTTTCTTCAAGCGATCTCTCAATGTGCGCCTCTTTTTCGATCCGTGTTTATAGCATAAACCCCGCATAAGATTTAGGTGCTTTTGATTCCCTCTCTTGTTAAAAGCACAATATTTAATTGGATTATATTCTATTTTTGTTGAATCTTCGGATCCAACTGTCTCAGATTGAAACTTGACTGGAAAAAGGCTGGATTGTTTTGCTATTGGATTGGAATTTGGGCATCCATTATAAGGTTCGGTTTTAATTGGTGATTTATGCTCGGTTTTACGAAAATTAAAAAAAAAAAAATTGTTTTTTTGATTCATTTTCTTTCGTGGGTTTGATAGATAGATTCGGATTGGAGTGGAAGAATTGTGTGGAATTGGTTCAAAGGGAGGTTTGGTTAAAGATCTGGATTTTTTAGTATATAAGCTTTTGATTAATTGGATTGATGGCAACTCCAGGGGGACCTCGGCCGGGGAATTTCCCCCCGAATTACAGCACTAATACGCTTGCTAATAATATGCAAAATTTACAAATTAATCAGCAGCAATCGAATAATCCTCGTGGTGATGCCCCTAGACCTCCTCATGCTGCACCACCTGGTCAACAGCCCCAACCTTTTGGAGGAAACCGACCACGCGCACCCCCACCAGGTGTTTTTCCAAGGGGCCCCGTGCCTACTAATGGTGCCTCACAAACTACATTGCCTTGGAACCCAGCATCTACACTCACCAGCCCATCATCTGTATTTCAGCCTCCTCCCTCTTTCATTATGAGAACTCCCCCTCCTGTGGCACTGGCATCGTCTGCTGGTGGTCCTGTTCCCCCGCCTCCGGGTGCAGCGCCATTAACAGGACCGGGCACTCGTCCTCAACCTTTTATATCTGCCCCTCTGACATCAGTTCCTCCAGTGCTGCCTCAGATGAGCACTTCTGGCCCTTCTAATAATGGACCAACTGCATTCTCTTCATGGCCTTCGCAAGGTGGGCCACATTTTCCTCCTGCCATGGCTGGTACACCACAACCGCCAGCTGGACCTCCGCAGTTGCCAACATTGATGACGTCCGGTCCATCTGCTCAGCCTCTACAAATGCGTCCATACTTTCGGAGTCCTGCTGGTGCATCACCTGTCACAGGACAACCTGCCCCACCATTTTCAGCACCAACTCAAAGCATGCATCAACCTTCAGGCTCTCCTCATGGGATGCAAGCATGGCCACCACAACCAGGGCAGGTGCCTATTCACGCTCTCTTCTTATGATTGTTTTAACTTTGTTTTTGAAGAATTCATTATTTGTTTACTGTTTATGACTTGTTACTACTTATGATGTTGTTCTTATTATTATTATTTTTGAGGAATTCATTATTTGTCATGTTAATTCTCTACACCGTTTAGTAATATAGAACGGAGTTCCCTCTTGGCCAGTTAGAGATGATTTATTGACTGGATTATGCTTTGTTGACATGGACTCTTTGCTAAATGTGTGCCCTGAAATGTAAGTAAGTAAACTAAATTATTTTCAGCATATGGTTATGAATAACTAGAGGAAAAAAAAAAACTGACAGGAACTAATACAAGCTCGAATATGGTTCTGCCTTTAAAGAAATGGTTATATTTATTGTTTCATATCGTGTCTTGAGTTGCACATCATGCAAGATTATTATTAAAGCGCCCCAAAGCTTACTTTTTCTGTGTCATTTGTCAAGACTTGTGCCTCACTACACCTGAGGACAGTTGAGATATGCAGTCCTTAGTTTTCTCTTTTGGCTTTTTTATTAGCCTTTTTTTTTGTGGGGTGGGGGGGGGGGTGGGTGGGCTAGGAAGAAAAAAATTGGAGATTGGAGAAGAGGATATTACTGGTCTGGAACTTAATCTCGAGTTTTATTTTTTTAGTTGAGAACTTAAAGAGAATCAGGAAGCTGTGGAAAGAGGTAGAGGATAACCAATAATTCTACTATCTCCTTCTAATCACCGAAGTGGTAATTTACAGAAATTCTGTTTTAGATCACATCATGTGCTATGTGAATGGCTACTGAGGAACTATATTTGGCTAGATGACCTGGGCTTTGGAGATCTTCTGTTTTTTCTTGGGCCCACACGAGATATTCCAACTAAATGACATGGTTCCATTTAAGCACATAAATACATGTATCGCTTGGATGACATTGATGATTTCACATTTGAACAGGTGATAAGCAGGATGAGCTGATGAATTTAGTTTCCATGCAGAATTATTTTTTTGGGACCTTTCAGTGATGATGCAGCTCTAAAATAATCACTTCAAATTGCTAAATAGCATTAAGCTTGCAGTTCTTTGAATATATGTTCTAAACTTGGTTTTCTGTGTAGGTGGCTCCACATCCTCCAGTCCCTGGTCCTATGCAACAGCAAAGGATGTATGGAATGCTGCCAGCCCCACCACCTCTTCCTAATCAATCTATGTCTTTGAGTCATACAGGACAGTCAAAAATTGATCCCAATCAAATACCTCGCCCTATTAGAAGTTCCTCTGTGATTATACATGAGACCCGTCAGGGAAATCAGTCAAGCCCTCCTCCGGTAATTAATATTGTTATTATCAGAAAAGGAATGCATCGCTTGATATTGTCTTTATGTCGTGTTCTATGTTTTATTTATTGAATTATGTTGTCTTTGATTGTAGTTATAAATTTGTTTGTCATGCAAATTCGCAAACTGTTGAGTGCCAGAGAATAATTCATCAATCATGTCACAAGTTTACTAAATAAAAGTTCATTATTTCTATTTTTGTTGAAGCCTGCAACAAGTGATTATATCGTCAAAGATACTGGGAATTGCAGTCCTCGTCACATGAGATGTACTATTAATCAGGTCAAGTATCCAATTCATGGTTTTAATACTTTTAAAATTTTATGTAAGCAGTTGTCATGTTTTTTAAATTTTACTTTTTAGAGCCATTCAATTCTTTGTTTGAACTATTTTAATTGCTAATAATGATTGTGGCTTTTGTTTGTTATAGATTCCATGCACTGTAGACGTTTTATCAACATCTTCAATGCAGTTGGCTTTGTTGGTGCAGCCTTTAGCTCTTCCCCATCCGTCTGAGGAGCCTATCCAAGTAATGCTTGAAATTCTGTTCCTACCTGTTATCTTTTATATCTTCTTCTGTTCTAATGTCATAAATGAGAGATTGTTTTGCTTACTTGGTCATATAAAGACGTTTGCATTCCTTAACAACAGCACGCTTTAGATCGAAGATAACCAGTTATAATTGCATGCACTTTTATTATGTGGTTATTGCTATTCATAATTCGATAATTGCACTGTTTGTCAAAAGGTATCTTTATTGCTCGCTCTGTTATCTGGTCCTTGAAGTTATTCTTACCTTTTAAGAGTTGCACGTTTGGCATGTTAGTTTGACTTTTCATTTAACTAAGCATCATCCTAAATGTTCATCTTACATTTGTCATCCCCTTTTCATTGTTGAGTAATCGGTTCCTTGGGCACTTTTCTTAGTGGCTTGTGCTCCTATTCTTCAGGTTGTGGATTTTGGGGAAAATGGTCCTGTTCGATGTTCTCGTTGTAAAGGCTACATAAATCCTTTCATGAAGTTTATTGATCAAGGCAGGCGTTTTATTTGTAACTTGTGTGGTAAGAATAACTGTTTTTTTCTAATGTTACTTGATGATTATTGGTTTACCGATTTATGCTTTGTACAAGATTTTTCATCTTGCTAATCCATTAGATTCAATTTTCCATGGGTGCCCTTATTTGTCTTTCCACGGTTTGAAACTTAGGGAGCTGAATAGCAATGATTTTTCATGTTGTATAAGAACCAAAGCATTATTATACTGAAGTCCTAAGATCCTTTTATGCTGCATTCTCAGTTCTGTGGTTGAAAGGTTACATGGACTGAATTATTGCAGTTATTACAAATTTTTTTGTATATTTTGACATATGCGTTACTATAATTACAATTGTTGGCTGCATACTACATTCAGTTATTGTCAAACTATATGCCTTTACTTCTTGCCATTTGTTTTGCAGGATTTACGGATGAAACTCCAAGTGACTATCACTGCAACTTAGGTCCAGACGGTAGGCGTAGAGATGCTGATGAAAGACCTGAGCTATGCAGAGGAACTGTTGAATTTGTCGCTACCAAGGAATACATGGTTAGTGACATTTTTGTTGACCTAGATTCGATTTGGCCCTTCATTGGAGATAAAATCAGTGACACAATAATATTGGTGATAATGCTATTAATGGAATAGAGTCGTACATTATGCCCTAGTTTGATAATGAAAAATAATCACTTAGAAACTGATCATTTGGTGGTAACTTCAAGTCCCATTTGGAATATCTTAGCATTATATTAGAATTTTGTTTGCGAGTTTTGACATCAAGGGTCTTCTTTTGCCCCAGCATTTTAAAGTCTTTTACTAGAAGCCCTCTTTAAATGACTTATCAGGAAGGCTGTATGGAGAATTTAAATATTTTGCAAGTGCAAATATCAAAATCTCTTCCATGATAATATTTAAGCAATATATTGTCTTAGAATCTGACTATTTTGAACAGTTTGAAAAGTAACCCTACTTAATTATTTCTACAAGTCCTTGCTGGAGGGTCTTAGGAACACAATTGAACACAAAAAGTTTTTTGCGAAGTGATTTTACTCAGGAAAAAAAAAAAAACTCGAGAGCTTGCCACAATCCTTTCAAATGGTATACAAGCTTGGATTTTATGGTCTGCAAGATCTTCTGCATTGGACAGTCTTTCTTTGACCTCTAGTTGCTATTCAAACGCTCTGTTGTCTGGAGTCACATATACTTTTGACTCCTGTTTACGGTGCAAGGACACTGTAAGTTTTTCAATTGCATTAGTTTGCACGTGATAATTTCTGAATTTATGACTTATTTCAGGTGCGAGAACCAATGCCCGCTGTATTTTTCTTCCTTATTGACGTATCCATGAGTGCCATACAGACTGGTGCAACTGCAGCAGCTTGCAGTGCAATCAATCAAGTTATAGATGATCTTCCTGTAAGTTCGTAATTGATATCTTCATGCGGAAATATTTTATTGGAGTATCCTCCATTTTCTTTCTCCACTGGGTATCTAGATTTTTAAGTCTTGAGCTTAGTGTACTGGGGAGCAGAATGTTCAAAAGTTTTTCTTTCTACTTTTTGAAGATGCTTAATTCTTTGTTATCTGGTCTCAGTGCCATATTGTTTGATTGACATTTTTAATACATAAGATCTATGAAATTTGCACGAGCTACAGAATCGTTCATAAGCCTTTGGAGTTGTTCTTGACAGAAGTTTCAGTAAAAATTCCTTGAAAATTACTTCTTTATTATCAGAGAAAAGGTCATTAGGGGGTTTATTGTTTGTTGACATGCAGGAAATAAAAACATGAGTGCCTTGTGTGAATGTTTTACCATTTTCCATAAGTTCCAAATGACTGTATTATGCAATTTTTTCCTTTGAATTGCTCCTCTTAACTCCAACATCCTGTTCTTTTCTGGGCATGAATTTTGTTGATTAGATTTTGTGAAAACTGATATTTTTTGGAGAACGTTTGGTTAAAAAGTAGGGAAAGTTATGGGTCCACTTGCAAAATTATTTTATTGGGAGAATGTGTGGTTGAAAATGAGTTTGGGAAAAAATGAGTTTGAAATTCTATACCAAAAGGGGGCTTAGTAAATATTTTTCTGATCTTTCTTTTGGATCTGCCAATGTTCTCATTGTTTCTTTATTTAGGACATAACATAAAATAATTCACCTCTAAATTCGATCAACACTCATCCATAGGAACCATCTAAGAACTTCATTTTTTAAAATCTTGAAATAACTAAATTCCTATTTATTATCATTGTTTGCCGTTTCTTGGAAAATAGTGTCTTTCAAACTATGAAAAGGGGAAAAAACACGAAGGGATGGAAGGAGTACATGCATGTGTATAATTTGAGCACTACATACATTTTCGAAGAACGAGAAAGCTTAATCATGTTTTACATTGATGTTCTATTTCTTGCAGGAGGGTCCTAGGACGATGGTAGGCATTGCTACATTTGACTCAAGTATCCATTTTTACAACCTAAAACGAGCATTACAGCAGGTTAGGGTCGAATTATCATTTGCTTGCTTATTATAAACTTATTTTTACTTTTCTTGAATAATTATATGTTTGTTTTCGGCTACGATGAGTCAAATTTTTTAACCTATAGAAATAATGTTTGTTGTTTGCATTGATTATTTAATGTTCTTGATACAAAATTCCCTTATTATGTTTTATCACTTTTATCTCAAGCAAAATAAGGTTGACATAAGCTGTGTCAGTCACAGTTGATGTTTCAGGGAATGCTTACTTTTATATATCGCTTCTCTTTATTGCAGCCATTGATGCTTATAGTCCCTGACGTACAAGATGTCTATACTCCTCTCCAAAGTGACATTATTGTTCATCTTTCCGAGGTTAGTTACCATACATCATTTTGTGTCATCTCTTTTTTAAAGGGTAGTTTTCCCTTTTTGGCAAATTTTTGACTTTCAATTCTGTATCAATTGCCATTTCCAAACTCCTTTCTTATTTTGCTTCTTTTTTCGTGTTTATCCTTGCGCATATTTGGGGAAGGTAAGGAGGGTCAGTGTTGAGGTTTAATGTTTTCATTGATGTTAAAAATTTCCAAATGATTGCAATAAAATTGGTATATGCAGTGTCGACAACATTTAGAGCTTTTACTGGAAAGCATCCCAACAATGTTTCAGAACAATAGAACGACTGATTCAGCTTTTGGCGCAGCAATAAAGGTACAGAAATTTTTATACCATTTCCATTTGAATAATGCTATGTGTACACCTTGTGGTGTACACAATGCATTACACCCCCCACATGGAGGGGGGAGGGTGTAATGCATTGTGTGCACCATTGTGTACACATAGCACAACCCTTTACATTTATAGCAGCTACATTGTATACTAACCTTTTGGTTGTCAAATATCTTGTTATGGTTGAATTGTCAAGGAATTCAGCTTAAACTCCATTAAAATGAGATTTTGGGGGGAAAATGTGTTTTGGAATAGTTATTTTTTGGAGAATGTGTCGTTAAAAAATAAAAAAAAAGTTTTGTATTTACGTGTTAACATTATTTTATTTTATGGAAGAATGTGGGGGTAGAAAATGAGTTTCAAAAAAATGCATTTTTTGAAAAATGGAGCTCAAACACGTGCTTAGTTTGTGGATAAGAAATAATAAGTGATATTCGAAATGGTTAATTATAAGTAAGTTATCTTTTAATTATATTTCACTACACTTGCGTATGGTTTTTTATATGTTTCAATCAATTTAAATCGATGTATTGCACAAATATCATATGCTTTTTGTCCTTTTCACTTCAGGCTGCTTTCTTGGCGATGAAAAGTTCTGGCGGAAAACTCCTAGTTTTCCAATCTGGTAAACTTGCAAATATTTTTACTTATTGATGATCTGTAATTGTAGAAAGAATATGCTGACTGTTTGTGATGTTATAGTCTTGTCATCAATTGGTATTGGATCCCTTTCTGCTAGAGAAGCTGAAGGAAGAAGCAATAAAACAGCAGGAGAAAAGGTGCGTGTGCTTTATCTTTGGTTTACTTATTTATCGTGGGTTTATTATTTTGTGTGGTTTGTGTTGTGGTTCAACTCAATATGTGTCAGTAGTTTGTATTATTTTATATATGAGTATATAATAATTTATGGTTAAAAAAATTAATAGAAATGTAGTTACTAGTTCCAGTAAAAGGAACCCAAGGACCATATTCTTTGCCAATTTGAGTTTAAATAGTCCATGGTGAACTTTGAATTTCATTTGTTAGAAACAAGTATGGAATCAAGTGTATCATCTTCAATAACTAGAATTGTGTTCATCATTGGATTTCAGGAGGCTCAGAAATTACTCCAACCAGTGGACAAAACTTTAAAAACAATGGCCATAGAATTTGCTGAATACCAGGTGAAATTTCAATCCCTTCCCACCCCCACCCCTCCACCCCCAGCAGATGTTATCAAGATTTAGTGCTTGTTTGGGAGTGTATAAATTGTAATTAAGCAGTTCCCCAGAATGTGGTAACGACTTTGTAGCATGGATACTTCAATTAAGGTAGCGTATTCATGTAGGACACATGTCAATACCAACACTCCATTTATATTAGAAATATTATATATTGTTAATTCAAAATTATTAGCAAGTAACAAATAGGTATTCATATTTAAAAGATTTCAACAAGAAAAATTAATAACAAGTATAAAACTAAATTTATACTATATAAATGAAGAATTTTAAAGAATTTAATCAACGCGTCGGCAATGTGTCGTGTCAGTACTTTTTTGAAAAAACGTTTGTTGGCTTATCCAACACATAACGTGTCGGACACATGTATCCATTTCGGTACATCATAGGTAGACAAAAGGTGGGTATTACTTGTGGTCCTACGAATGTGTGGATAAAAAAATATGCTTGACCAAAGTGTGTATAATTTAAACACCTCCCAACAAGCACTTAGACATGGCCATTTCTTCAGATTTATACCACCTACTTTGTGTCCTCGCTATTTATTATAACAACACTTTCAGGTATGTGTTGACTTGTTCATCACAACACAAACATACGTAGATATCGCTTCCATCTCTGTCGTCACGAGAACTACAGGAGGCCAGGTAACTGTAGAATTAATTGTTTTCTTAGTCCATATAGAATTATGTGCCTTTACTCCTTGTTTGGTGGATGTATCATCGGTTATCTCAATGTTATGATTTAGCATGAAATACCTTTTTCCTTGAACCATTTGTCAATCATACGCATCCGAGTCGCATTATCATATATGATCTTTCATATTTCTGATATTTATTTTGAGCTCTGATTCAGAAGTTTAATTTTCTCTACAGGTATATTATTATTACCCCTTCTCTGCTCTGTCTGATCCTGCTAAGCTTTACAATGATCTTCGGTGGAATGTCACGAGACCTCAAGGCTTTGAGGCAGTGATGCGAGTTAGATGCAGCCAGGTGTGGTTCTTATAAGTCTGAATGTTTCTTAGCTTGTCATCTATGCTGATAATATTTCTATTCATGGGAAGAACAGCTCAATGCTTGACCGGTGGTAATAAAATGACATTAAGCTAAAATTCATATTTTTCTTGTTAGGGTATTCAAGTTCAGGAGTATTTTGGGAACTTCTGTAAACGCATTCCAACAGATGTTGATCTACCTGCTGTACGTCTTTCTCTCTCTCTCTCTCCCTCTCCCTCACTATACTACTAGATACCCATTCAGGTGTTGGGTAATGATCTGTAAGATCTTGACACGATTAAAGCAATAAAAGAATTTTCTTACACAATTTAACCATTTTTGGGCATGAATTTACTAGACACTGATTCAGGCTTTAGTTAATAATAACCCATATATATTTTCTAAGTTCACAGTAGCCAACTGATCACTGAACACATGATATTACATAGTTCTGAAGTATCAGTTTTTCATTCTGAAGAATCAGTTTTTCATTCTTATTTGCATCCTCTGAACCCGACATAGTCTTTCTGCATCCATTTTGAGCCTACAAGTGGCACTTCCTCTATTTCCTATTACTTAGAAACATCTATAGCATCAGTTTCCTCTATTTTCTATTACTGAGAAACATATAGAACGTATGTACGAAAATCTTTCAAGTTCTTTGGTAGGAATGATCTCTAAGATTAGAAAAATAGTACTCATATTGTTTCATAGTTGCAATTGTAATACATGTTTTTTTTTTGTTGTTGGTTGTTTCACATTTGTCCTTAACCCCAATTATTGAAGACACAATATAAATGAATACATGTGGTCCCTCTGTAACAGTTTAAGCTTTTAGATGTGATGTTTAAAATTTTATTAGTCACACAAAAGACAGAATACAGGTGGTCCCTCTGTAACAGTTTAAGCTTTTAGATGTGATGTTTAAAATTTTATTAGAGTCACACAAAAGACATACTACATATAATGCTACTTTTCATATTGGGGATGGTGTTAATAAAGATGTCACGCACGGGATGTTCATGGAGTCCGTGCCTTCGTACCTCCACAAGATTGGTGTTCAAGGTTTGAATACCTCTCGCAACCACCTATTTATTAATAGTTATGCATGTGCAAGGCCTTTGATAGGAAAAAATAACTCGGCTTGCACGTGATTGGTCTTGTTGAATACACGACTTAGATTAATACATGTGACCCCTCTCTAGTACTTAAGTTTTTAGATGTGATGGTTAACGTAAATTTGTTGGGAAGAATCTTTGTTTATTATTGTTGTTTCACATTGACATTTAACTTTATGTTAGTGTGGTTCTATATTGGCATGGGCCTGTTTTGCCTTCTATTGAGACCTTACTTTTGCAGATTGACTGCAACAAAACAATAATGGTGACCCTAAAACATGACGACAAATTGCAGGAAGGCTCAGAATGTGCTTTTCAGGTACGATTTCAATTCTATGCATAATGTTTTTTACCTGGAACTCTTCCTCTATGTTATTTTTCTCTCTTTCTTTTGTTGAAGAAGCCATTGGTCGTCTAAATCACTTGGTATAATTATGTTGTCCAGTGTGCTCTTCTCTACACCACTGTATATGGGCAAAGAAGAATCCGGGTTTCAACCTTGTCCCTCCCTTGCACCACAATGCTGAGTAATCTGTTTCGCTCTGCTGACTTAGATACCCAATTTGCTTGTGTCCTGAAGCAAGGTAGTTTGCTGGGCATGTCCCTTGTTAATTTTTCCTTAAATTTCATAAAATTGATAGTTTACAGTAGATTTCATCTCTTTATTATGTTTATGCATCTAATGGCATAACATATTTTTATTGTAAATAGTCCCTAGTGTGAAGCTTGGCCTCTTCTCTTCACCACCCCACCCCTTATCTCCCTCCCGCCTGTAGTTACTTTTTGGCCTATTATAAACAAATTCTATTATTGATTTCTACTTTTTTGATTACATACTGACTGTTATCTCATTTTCTCATGTGACAGTGGCTAGTGAAATTCCTTCAGCTCCACTCACGCAAGTCAGGGAGCAAGCAACAAATGTTTGCATTAACATTCTGCACTCTTATCGCAAATTTTGCGCTACAGCATCATCTTCTGGACAACTCATTCTTCCTGAGGCACTTAAACTATTGCCTCTATACACGCTTGGTATTTCATAAATTTTCGTTCTTTTCATCTCTTTAGAGTCTAACAATGTTAGCTAATGAGGTTTTCAACTCCCAAGTCCTTTTCTGTCCTGATTCTGCATATAAAAATACAGTTGCCACTTCGTGGAAATTTCTCTTAATATCATGAATTTTGGAACAAAATGTTATTATCATTTAGTTTTTCATCGGATGAAATCACCACAATTCATCAATACCACCTTCTTAATCTAACTTTAAGGAACAAAAAAAGTGAATGAAAGAGTGAGATGCATTTTCCAATTTTTACTTTTATTTAGTTCCTTTCTACCTTTTCCAGCTCTGCTCAAAAGCATTGGATTGCGAGCTGATGGAAGAGTCGATGATAGGTCCTTTTGGATTAATTATGTTTCCCCTTTATCTACTCCTTTGGCAATCCCATTGGTGTACCCCAGGATGATAACCATCCACGATCTTGATGAGAAGGTATGTATTTGTTTGTGTGATATTGTAATTGTAGTTAGTATGCTCCTTCCCCTAAAATCTTTATACTGAACTAACTGTCAGGACTTGGATGATTCCCCTATTCCTTCTCCTGTCCCACTATCCAGTGAGGACATTTCTGACGAAGGAATATATCTCCTTGAGAATGGCGAAGATTGTTTAATTTATGTAGGCAACTCTGCCAGTCCAGATATTTTGCAACAGTTGTTTGGTATATCTTCAATTGAAGAAATCCCTAATCAGGTATTCGACATGGTGTTTTCGTAAATCTTATTTGTTGATTGTCATCTGAACCTTCATTTTGATTCTTTTGCCCGCTAAGACGTCGACAACATATCTACAGAAGAGTATCTTTAGAGATAAATATCCTGAATATTCTTCTATCTAGAATCGTTCGATTCCAGTTCCCTTTTAGACTGTCTTTATTGTCGAAGTTTCTGGAATCTGATTGCAAACATTTTTATACCTATTATTTGTGTTGGAAAATGTCTATTTTTCCAAGTTAATGGTGTTGTACCTTGTCAGTATGTACTGCAGCAATATGACAATCCACTGTCAAAGAAGCTGAATGATGTGGTAAATGAAATAAGGCGCCAGAGATGTTCCTACTTACGGTATGATCGGATCCCTTCAGGCAAATAGTGTTGCCCTCTCTATTGAATAAAGTTTTTTATTTTATAATTGTGGCAATTTTTTCTTCTAATATTTTTTCTTTCTTCTCTGTCTTCAGCTTAAAGTTGTGCAGAAAAGGGGATCCATCAGGTTAGTGAATCATACAACCCTTTAGCACCGCATAACACTCAACCATGTCTCCTATGGGGAGAAAAAGAAGCAAAACAAACACGTATTTTGATATAATGAGACAAGCATGGGGAGAGTTTTACAGTGAATGCAGGACTAGGGGTTATTAAAATTTGGCAGGCATGAGAGAGTAAGAAAAATGAAATTTGGTGGGATTTTGGGGTTCGACTAAATGAGGATTTCTGCAGTACAAGATGTGGTTTTGTCCGAGTTGAGCTATATTTTTTCATTATTATTATTTTTTGCAGGGATGATGTTTTTCTCTTACATGGTAGAGGACAAGACTCCAAGTGGGCTTTCATATGTCGAATTTCTAGTGCATATCCATAGGCAGATTCAAAGTAAAATGGCTTGAAGATACACATTTCTTTAGTTTTGTTACCTTCAGAGGAGGGATGCCCTTATATACAAAACCCAAGAATCTGAAATAGCACTTATATACAAAACCTTCAGAGGGATGCCTTAATCTGCACTCTAAGGGAGCCTTCAGTTGTTAATTTGTGGCGAAAAGCAGCGAATCCGGACTTTAGTAGAGGCTTAGTAGTTTTGAAGGTTCTTATACTTGCAGAAGTGAATGCCAAAAAATAAATTATAAGGAATATTTTTATTTATTTGTTAGCATCGTATCTGACGCATTTCATCCATTTTTAGTCGACACCTTTGGTTTTTGGACGGATAATTTTGTAATATGTTGAAATTTTGATTCTTGAACCATGCTACATTCTAGAACTTCTGAAATATACTTAATCTTGGAGGGTATTTGTAACTTATTTAGTATCCTATAATGGTATTTGATTGATTGATTGTTGAAATTTGGTAGTCGATGAGAGTGTAGTATGTAAAAAGAGATAGGTAAATATTATTTTTGGTTGCTAAATTAATTAGGATACCTAACTTTGATTTCTCTCACGTCGTTGAACTTCGATTTTTTTTCAATGTTAGTTACTACGTGTGTCTTGTCACTAAATTTTAGTGTTAAAATTTTATGTGAACGTTAAAAATTGATGGTAATTTAACGTGTCTTCCTTTTTTTAAATAAACATGTCAACTAATGATTTGGTGGTTGTAAAGTTAGAAAACATTTGTGTTTAACAGTCGATGGTGATTCGTTTGATTGAAGCACTTGGGGCTCTATCCATCCCAATTTCAAGATTTTACATCTACGAGATATTTAAACGTGGGCAAACAAAGGATTTCGATCTTAAATTTAGTAACGTGATTTAGTGAAATGACTAAAACTCAGGGTCTAGATTTTTTAAACTAGGGTTAATGGATACCTATATATCATAATTCTATAGAGACTATGATTCCATGTCCTACAATCGTGTTATTTTCTTGAATCGAGCAAAGTATCACAAATCTTTCTATCAATCTCGTATATTGTCCTTTTCGTTTTGGGGGCTGACACCTGCCCAGTATCGGAAGGTCAAGGAAGTTGATAACCTGATAACTGGTGACTCAATGACAGGGGAGCCGGCGACGTATCTCATTAGCTTGACCAAAATGGTGTGTCTAGACGGGAATAGCCGGGCACCTAAAAGTAAATTTAAGTTCAAGTGATATAAAATGGATAGTTGGCATGTATAACGTAGAATTGATAAAATTTGACTTCTTTTCCTATTTTATTATTGTTCATCCTCAACACTGATAGTGTCCAAAACAAGAAATCAATGCAAGCCTTCATAGATTAAACATTTTAAAAACATACAAGTATTAAGAATAGTATATCCATCACCAATTAATAGCAAAATTGGAGAAAAAGGACATAATAAAAGGAAATGCAATAAAAAAAAAAAACAAAAACAAAAGTTAACTGGTGAAAATTGAAATTCAGATTTTAATTTAATTCAAAGTCAACAATATATTTTAATCACATATTTTATAAGACCCCACAACTTTTCAACAACACATTTCATTGACTTTCATCAAAATTTACTAAAAATCTGATTTTAATCCCTAACAAATAGGGAAACTCTTAGGGTAAGTCCCAACCTTTAACCTACTATTTGTCATTCACATGTCGAGAATGTGGCACCAATGTACCCAACTGACAAAAGAAAAATATTTGAACATTGCATCGTCACACGACACTCGTGTGATGTCAGACTCTCGGTGTAAGATTATCCAAGAAAATTTTCTTTATTCATAAATAAATCAAATGACAACAGTTTGGTTTAAACATTCAAATTGGGCAAAAATGTTCACTGTTCATGAAACATATCATAGATTTAGAGCTTGTTTGGGAAGGATTAAAATCAGATTAAAATTGAAAATATAGTCGTTATCTTGTTTACTTTTATTAGACGGGCCATATTTTCAATTTTAATTGGATTTTAATCCCTCCCGAACAGAGCCTTACTTGAAGCCATCTACGACATCACATGAGTATCATGTGAAACATATCACATGGCATTTTATTGTTCAAATTAACTTTTTCTCAGGGATGACAAATTCCTTGCCCTAATTTCAAATGCCCACATTGCCCTAAGGATAGTGATGTGTCAGGGCGGAGTGTGGTAGAAGGCGATAAAAAAATTCTTCATTTATCGCCCGTTGAATTAATTAAGGGAAAAATTATGTGCGAGAAAAAAAAATAATAATAAGTTTTTTAAATAAGTTATTTTTAATTAAATGAAGTTTGATACGGTGAGAGTAACTTTTTTATTTTATTTTTTATTAAAAGTAAGAGAATAATATTGCTTTAAAAAGTGACTTTATTTTGCATTAAAATAAGATTTTATTTTGTTTAAATTTAGACAAAAATATTTTTAATACAACATAATTTCTCTCATTAAATGAAGTAGAAATTGATGCAGGAACAAGTCATTTAACTAAACTTCACGTTCACTTGATCGCAAAGTCAAACATTTGAATGGTTCAACGTCCAATTATTTTTGGTACAAAATGCTTTTATTTGCATGATGCGCTCCATATTCTAGAAATACAATTCTTACTTTCAATAATATAATTGTTGCATTTTTTATATCACAATATTACGATATCGTAACAAACAGTATAGTGGATATTTGAGTTCGAATATCATTCCCACGAAAACTATACTTCAGAACTTAATCAAATTTTTTTAACAGCTACTTGATAAAAACAAGTAAATAATTATGATGGTTGTATTTTCTTAACTCCTCTTTGACAAAAGCAAGTAAATATTTATGATGGGCATGATTATTTTTCCTAACTACTTTTAACTAATTAAAAATATAAAAAGATTGCAAACAAGGATTGATTGAAGATTCAAATATGTGATGAATATTAGGGTATAACAATTTCATCAATTGATCATCTTAATTCAAGATTCATAACATAATGTAGTATTCGATCGAATTTTTCTATTGTATTTAATTTTTTCATTTTTTTTATTTCAGCCGGGCCCCACGTCGGTCCCACCAGCTTGTGAGGGTCGGTCACCCAGGTGGGTGACCCTTTTCTAGCAAAGAAGCTTTTTCCTAACTCCCTTTTTTTCTTTCCTTCCTTTCTTTCCTCCCTTCTTTTTCTCCACCTCCCCTTTTTTTCTTGTCTTTTCTTTTCTTTCTCTCTCTGGTTGCCTCTTTCTTCTCTCTGCATTTTTCTCTCTTTCCTTCGACAACCGTTTTCTTTGACTTTTCTTGTGCGTCTCCTCTTTCTGTTTCTGTGTGGAGGTATATATATCAGTCACATTGAGATCCAATTAAAATTTTCAATACAAGTCTATTGAGACTCATTTCACTACAACTCGTTTAATGTATTATTTCTCTCTAAGGTTTCATTTTTGGACTTTGCCATTTTTCGCAACTTTTAAATTTTTTTTTTCAATTCTTCATTAAACATAAAATTTTACCTACAAAATACAATATAACATAAATTAGGTAGAATTTTATCCAAAAGATAATAAAATATCATGATTTAGAGTCTCGAATAAATGTAGAAACTACCGTTATCAATAATACATTCAAAACATATAATTGTTCGATAATGGAGTTAACGTTCATCAAGATAGCGTCTCGTGCCTGGTTGCTATTATTGCCGACTAAATTTAAAAATCAATCAATTATCTAATATGAGTACCTCTTAAGAAATTTATTCGGACCGTCAAAATCAAACGAAGGTCGAAAGGCCATTCAACTTAATATAAGAAACATAAAACACCAAAAACTAGTTCGCATTACAATTATAAGTTATAACCAAGCACATTAAAGAAATGGATGAAATAAAATCTGAAGTTAATACTCAGAATATCCACCATCAGCCCCACCGTACTCCGCGCCACCGCCAGCGCCACCATCTCCACCGCCATCGCCTCCACCAATAATACCTTGCATGACATTCTGTCCAACCTGCTGGAAAGCCCCTTCAACCAGCCCCTGCACCGCTGACGTCATCAAGGTGGTGCCGAGCCCATTAATCATGTTTGGTCGCTGAATATTGTTCTGCATAGGCGGCGGCGCCGTATATGTTGGCACAAACCCTGTATTCACAGGACCCATATGAGGATTTGTGATTCCACCAATACTTGCACTGTGCATCATATTATGGGGAGCCTGAAATTGTGATCCAGTGCTTGCAGAGTGAATCAGATGAGGATGATTAGGGTTCATAGGGACCCCTGCAGCCATTAGATGATTTTGATTACTTGCACTGGGAAATGAAAGGTGATGATGTACAACAGGTTTAGGTTTAGGCATAGCTGTTGTACAATCCAAATGCACATCAAATTCACAAGAACTGCATCGGTAAAGCCACTGATTAGACCCAATCTGTCTACAGATATCACAGGAGAATCCTTTAGTCTCGTAAGGATTCTTGAAAGTTAGCTCAAGCGGGCACGAATGTGCACGATGAGTAACATTCATCGGTTTTTTCGCACACAAAACGTGGAGATCATAATCACACTTGCCACAATGGTAGCTGAACCCTTCACCTTGGCGGTTGCAGGCATCGCAGTTGAACCTACCACCGGCGTAGGACGAGACAGGGAGGAGAGTCAGATTGCATCCCGGATGGGACGGGTGAGTGATCAGCTTCGGTAATTGAGCACATGTTGAGTGAAGAGTGAAATTACAGGGACTGCATGTGTACATAATTCCTGAGGCTTCAAGTTTGCATCCTGAACAAAGAATTAGATATTGAGGATTGTTTTGGATTGGTTCGAGTTCGTGAGGGTGGCTGAAGTGCTTGATCGGTGCCGGTGCGCTGCTAGTTTGATTTGCCCTTCCCATTGTTGCATCAATTTCTTCGAGTGTGTGTAATGGAAGAGGGGAGGGTGAAGAAGAGAAGGGATGTGAAAGTAGAAAATAAAGATGAGAACCGAGTTGACTTTTGTGAGTATGGCTAAGTCAAATATTCCAACGCGTTTCCTGGTAGATAATGTCAATTTGTAGACTTTGGAAGTCTTCTATCAATCTCTACATGCGGTGGATGCATTAATGCTTGCCTTTCCTTTTTCATTCTTGATAATTAATCATCAAGATTATAAAGGGACAACTACGAGATATATGTATAGCATGTTTGATAAGAAATGTTGAACGATATGCTTTGCGTTGCTATCAACTTCTATCTGTATCGCATTTGGAGCAGTGTTGATTAGGAATTAAATGTTGGGCACTCGTGCATCCTAATGTCTGATTGGCTTAAATGTAATTGATATCCCTGTATGTTACGATAACTGACAAGTAAAGACCTAAATTTATATATTGTTGTGAGATTAAGTCATTTCAGACATACGTCGTTTAGGTTCCAACTCTATTTTTTTAACTTTTCTTGTCTACGTACAATGTTCCATTGATTAGCAGTTGTTCATCTTGGATGTCTGATGCGCAATTGGGTAAGATCAGGCACTGATGACACATTAATTTCATTTGGCATTAAAGTTTAAAAGATAGTTTAACTTTAATTTTCAATAAAAATAGAATATCTGAGAGCGTGATTTAAGACACATAAACCTTAAACCTTTACTCTTTTGGAATTTGAAGGCATATGCATGCCTATTCATTCGATGTCTCTAGTCTGGATTTAGTCGACATTCTATTTCTTGTGTTACATATATATCATGGAGTAATAAAATCTCGCCACTTGATTAAAATGTCTCTCTCTCATCTTATGGTGCAACAATATCTTGTGCAGTTGTGCTAGACGGTTTTATCTAGAGAATAGTATTGTCTAGCACGAGTTGAGATGACGACATTTGATAGATACAATTAAATGATTCATGTAACATTAAATTTAAGTAAAATTATCATTTAATGTCATTCAGTTACCATCTAGATTGTACTTAACATCAATGATTCTGAATAGTATCACTCGTACCTAAAAGCATTCATAGTGCTTTTGCAGTTTGCACTATTCACGGTTGTTGTGGAAGTTGACTCATGAAGATGTGCTCAAATTCTCAAATGCAGAATACTAATGGTAGGGTATAAGGTTGTTGGCCTCTATTTGCTGCCAAACACATTTTTCATATATATATATATATATATATNATTTTCGCTTCAAATAAGAATATTTATATTTGAACCCCGTTTAACCATAATAACACAATATTTAAAAAAGAAAAAGAAAAGGACCCTATTTAACCATATTAACACAAAGTACTTAATTTATTTTTTTTAAAAAAAAAGTTTTAAATATTTTCAATCATACCCTCCCCATATGGTCTAATACTACATATTAAGCTTATAATTATAACTCAAAATATTTTTTTGAATTACAAAATTATTTAGAACTTCAATATATATTCTGTATTTTTTTTTCCACAAAAGTTAGGGTCATAATAGCAATATCCAGACTTTACGGAGGTGATTGTAATTTCCTAATGAATATCCATTAACCGACTGAGAACCTTGTTCAACCTTGCTCCTCAAGCAGAACAAGAACACGTCCCTTTTATTCTTAACAAACCACACAAGAAACCAGAAAATCAGGGAGCCCACAACAGAAATTCCAAAAAAAGAAATAAGTTTCGAAGTTATCCAACACCGAAGCAAAAAATGGCTCTGCAATGGGTGATTCTGACATACGTGGTGGCAGCGGAGGCAGCGGTCGCAATTCTTTTGACTCTGCCATCGCCAAAGGCTTTGAAATCTAGCATTGTATCACTTATCTCACTTATTCTCCATCCTTTACTCTTTATCATACCATTCGCCGCTTTTCAGCTCCTGGGTACGTATATTTTGTTGTTAATTTTTTAAATGGTTTTGTGAATTTTTGTGTTTTGGGTGTTGACAGAATGGGTTTTTATGATTTATGTTTTTGTGGATTTGTATTAGATATATACTGGAAGAATGAGCATCGATTGATGTGCACTGGGGAGATCTGCACTGCTGCTGAGAGGGATCGCTATGAGAAATCGGTATTAATTTTGGTTATCATTTTATTTTTTGTATTTTACATTTTACATTTTCTTGGGGTGGTTTGATTAGTATTTGTAAATGATAATGTTGAAAGTAATTTTAATGTAGGGGAAAAATTTATTGTTAATTACTGAAATACTAGTTTGTCCTGTATGTAGAATAGAATAAATTTAGTGTTCATCGTTTGTAAACATTGAGAGGCATAGCTTGAAAGCCAAAAAGAAGCCGTTAAAAAGCAAGGTTAAATTTGCTGTAGATTCTGTCTTTTTAATGTAATTGTACATGGTTGAGGTATATCTTGCCAATTAATCCATTTAACGGATAGCACAGTTCGGTTTGACTGGTTTTTGAAGTTTCGACTTTCTAGTCTTCTTTTGCTTGAAGTTGTTGGTCGATGTTTATTTCAATCATGATTGGCACTCTCCTAAACTATAGGTCCATAGACGTTATTCCCCTACCAATACCATTGGCTGATTTTTGGGTTATATGTTGCGGGTCATTCTCTGCTGGTACACATGCATTGAGATGAGGGACACCATAGTTTGTGGTTTCGAACTACACAAACTCCATTTTAAATTTTGGAAGAGAAAAAGTCCCTTAAGATTTTAGCTCCCCGTTGCCCATGAAAAGGGTTGAAAAACCAAAAGTGCCAAGAGGTTTTATGCAAGCACCCGTCCCCGTTCATGTATTGATGGTGACTTGTATGGAATTTAAAATTTAGAATAGCATTTGTTCAATGTCGGTGTCAGGTAGAAAACTTTTTCTCCATTTTTGGTCATGAATTCCCTTACCAGATGAACTTCATTCTCCATTTATCCCTTTTTTGGATAAAAAACTGAATCCTAAACCAAATTATAACAAAATTAGATGGGAGCTTGGACTCTTTAGCTGTATTTTGTCATCCATCGAAAGGTAGATCTTGATAACATGTATCTTTTCGTTGTTTAATCTATGTTTGTGTGACTTGATGGTGGTCATCTCTGGGTTTACGTGCTACCTCCGCCAAATGCTTGATAAGTGAGTCCTATATCGGTGACGACGGGGGAAGAAGTTATAACTGTACAGTACCATTTGATCCCAAATGCTTGATAAGCAAGTCTAATATCACTGATGACACACTCTTGTATACGTTAATATTCACAAATCAGTTCATTTATTCTGGACTACTTTTGTTTCCATGTTTCTCTTTTCAATCCAACTCTGTTGATCTTTACTTTTTTTTTTTTTTTTCTTATTCAAGATTTCTTTATGACTTTCAAATCCTATTGATATGTTCTAAACAGCTGTGTATCATTTTTGAAAGCACTACTCTTTTTGATAAAGACATTGATTCAGTACACAAAATATTTGTACTATTGGCAATAAACATAGTAATATTATCATTCAGAAAATATTATGTATACATAGACTTGTGATTTGGAGTCACAGAGCATGTTATAATACGGAATTTACATTTGGGATACTCATGTTGTGAATGCAACCTAATAAGACTCCCAAGACGTACATAGTTTCAAGTCTTCAGCACAAATCTAATAGCTGATTTCCTATGCTTTGTGATGGCATCATCTATCTTTAGCTTTTTCTGGGGAATTTTTTAGCATAGACAGTGGAATCACTTTATTATGTTTATTATAACACGATGCTTTTTTTTTAATACTCTATTGATTTTTTAAGCAGTGGCATTAGGCCATCGGTTGTCTGTGCCTTTCATCAATTTGTGTTGTTGGGTGTGTGATGTAGATCTACAAGGCTCAGAGGAACGCTGTTCTATGTATTGCTGCATGCCTCCTTTACTGGTAAGTGACCAGCACGTCCGACTACGTTGTCTTCATATACAAGAATTGTGCCTGACTTTTCACTAATTTTATGTGCTACCGCCTTTAAATGTTCAACGTCCACGTAGATGGCATAAAGGTAGTTATACAGGGAGATTCAAAGGATGGAGGAAGCCGAGAAGCGTTTCAAGGACGAGTAGAATCTCTCTTATATGTCCCCATCTTCTGCCAAGACCAGTGGAGCGGATTGACAAGGCTAGCTGTAGCTTAATGGAAGAGCAAAGTTTTCTCTAATGATAGATATGTTTACTTTTCGTGTATCTGCAACTGCTGTCTTCTATATGAATGTTATTAGCATCTCGTTTTACTCTTGTATGATCTATGAAGCAATGTGTCTTGAATAAAAATGAAATTAGAACCCGTAACATGATTGTAGTCTTCCCTAAAATAATTTCTAGGCAAGGCATACTTGGTACTACTATTTGTTGGGAAATAAAATGTAGTAAATAACAATTCTAACAACAAATTTTTTTCACTTCTCCAATTAATTTTTTCGATTGTATTGAATGGGTGGTTATAAAGCCCTAATGACTATTATAACATTTTTATGTTAATGCAAATTAATGAGAAATTGAATATAAGTAGGTGTATTGTCGTCCTTATTTCACGCTAAATTTTGAGAGATCTTCTCCCTTTCTAAATTTTTCTCAACTCTTTGATAAAGAATTTTGCTCTTAGTACCTTATATAATTTTTTGTTCTAACTCAATGATATAAGTGTGAGCATTTTCAAGTCGCCTAAAGTAATGATAAAATGATAATCAGTTACTTTCAACCTTGTACCGTGATTAGCAGACACCATCAGTTTTTTTGCACCACAGGGGAGGGGCAATATGTTTTAAAGAAATTGTGTACAACACAAGTTTCAGTTCCAATACCGATACTATGCTTGTGTTTGAATCTCATTAAAATGAGAACATAATTTTTGGAATAGTGATTGATGGAAGAATGTGTGGTGAAAAAGTGATGAAAAGTTTTAGATTTGTATATAATATTATTTTATTTGAAAAATGTGTGATTGAAATAAAGAAAGAAAAAAAAAATGAGAATATGATGAGAATAAGTGTCAAACGGGATAACCATATTTCCTATATTTTATTGTTACTCTATTTGTTTTAATGTTTCTTTTCATATTTTATTTATATAATTCCAGCAGTATTTATATAAAGGTAAAATCCCCATATGAAAATTAATAATCATAATAGATGAAATTACACAATTCCAGGTGTTTAAAGTATCAAATTCAAAAATCAGGGACTAAATTTCAATCTTCAAAAATCAGGTGCTATATAAACACTTAACCCTAATTTTTCACACAACCCCGTCCTCTCTCTCTCTCTCTCGCCTCACCTTCCCCTCCCCTTCCACCTCTCTCTTCCGTCTCCACCTCTCCCTCCCCATCCCTCTCCCCCACCCCATCCCCCCATCTGCTGCGAACCGCAGCAGCGACATGCAGCTGCGTCGCTGCTGCACGCTGCGACCCCTGTAGGTGGTGGTTTGCAGTGGAGTATTGGGTTGCTTTGATGCCGTGGGTGTGGCGGATTGCTGTTGGTGGTGGTGGTCTTTGGTTGGTGGTGGTGGTGGTTGTGGTTGGCTGTTGGTCTATTGTTGTTGGGGTTGGTGGATCTATTGTTGTTGGCTGGCGGTGGTGGTTGTGGTTGGCTGTTGGTGGTGGTGGATCTATTGTTGGCTGGAGGTGGTGGTTGTGGTTGGCTGTTGGTGGTGGTGGTGGTGGATCTATCATTGTTGGGGTTCAGTCGTGTGTTCTGCGGCTGGGTAGTCTGTGTTGGTCGATCTGTGACCTGTGACCAAGTATCGGTAGTATGTGACCAAATTTTTGTCAATCTGTGATCAATTACTCAAATGTGACCTAAAAATTTAATAATCTGTGACCTCGAAATAATATGTGACCAACTAATTTAAAAATCTGTGACCTCGAAATAATTTGTGACGTACAAATTTTTTTATATGTGACCTCGAAATAATTTGGGATCAAAAAATTTGACGATATGTGACCAGTAAATAAATCTGTAACTTAAAATTATGAATATGTGACC